TATAACTGACATTCACCCCTCCCAGAATATCATTACTTTAAAAAAAAAAGCAGGCCTTGATTCTGATGGCTGCAACACTATACTGTCTAGTTTATAGAAGTTGGTATCAGAGGATGTAAGGGAGGAGGTACTGTCACAGTTAAGAGCGGGATTATTGTTTGTTGTAGATAACAAGAACGAACAAATTGAAACTCCTTTTCTAGACTTGTCCTTTCACAACCCCCCACATCTGGTAGAAACTGGCTTGTTCTCAATGACTGTAATTACCATCAAATACGACCCAAGAGTTTGCTTGTGTCATTTTTCAGTTTTTGTGATTTACATTGAACAGTTTCAGAACTGAGAGTGAAATGCTCGAGAATTTTAATTTCATGTGAATGTTGAAAACGTGCGGAAACTTTAAGAAACTATTAATTTAGGCCCGCTTACAAAATAAAATAAGATTTCTAAACCTTAAGTGCTGCCCTTCACTATTTTTTCCGTCTCTTACCCTTTTACTGGGAATTGATTTTTAACTTTGATCTATAAAAAATGCATTAAAACTCATCAATCCAGGGATGCCTGGGTGGCTCAGTCGGTTGAGTGTCTGCCTTTAGCTCAGGTCATGATCCCGGGGTCCTGGGATCGAGTCCCTCATCGGGCTCCTTGCTCAGCAGGGAGCCTGTTCTCCCTCTGCCTGCTGTTCCCCCTGCTTGTGCTAGCTTGCTGTCTCCCCCCCACCCCTGACAAATAAATAATAAACAAACAAATAAATAAAATCTTAAAAAAATAAAACTCATCTATACATAGTTTATTTTAGATGATTTTTCTGTGACTTAAGTGCACACTAGTAGTTATAAATCTATGTATTGAATCTGTCGTTCTTTCTATCTCTTTCTTTTATCTGTGTCATGGGGGGGGGGGGATTCACTGACCTAGCTCCAGCACACGTTCCAGTGTGAAATACTGATGCTTGCTGCCAGCCGAGCCTCACCTAAGGCATGAAGAGTATCAGTCAGAGTCCTCTAGATAGAGCACCACACTTCTCTTTGAGCACCTCGTTAATGAGGCTCACTGTTATTTATTTGGTTCATCCACTAAGGACCAGGGCATAAATCCACACGTCTGCTCCAGGATTTCATCTTCTAGCCCTGTGGCAGGCAAGAAAGAGGCGCCCAGGACCGGCTGCTTGCCGCCTGTCAGCACCTCCACCACCCTCCTCCTTTCTAGGCTTCAGCCCTAAATTTGCTTGCTTGCTTGCTTCCTTCCTTCCTTCCTTCCTTCCTATCTCTTTCTTCTTCTTCTTCTTTTTTTTTTTTTTTTCCATCTGAAGTCTTGTTTTTTTTCCCCTGGTTGATGAGCAGTGGTTCAGAGGGAGCCATCCCCAGCCTGATGGCCATGGCTGGCAGAGTGCATCCGCCTGCCCCTAATTACTACAAACCCCCTCTTTTTTCTTTCCTTTGGCGGTTTACAGGTTGGTTGGCAGTGTATACTGGACATACATAGCCTCAGGAAAATTGCTCAGAAAAGAGAACATATGGGGTAGACACCAAAAAATAAGCATCTTCATAAAGTTAATTTTTTTTTTTATTTTGAGGAAATGTGTTTAAGGTACCATCACATAATAATAAAAGAGAAAATTTAGCCCATAATAACTTACTTTAAGAGGAAATTAAGGGGCTCCTGGGTGGCTCAGTCAGTTAAGTGACTGCCTTCAGCTCGGGTCATGATCCCAGGGTCCTGGGATTGAGCCCCGCATCGGGCTCGCCGCTCAGCAGGGAGTCTGCTTCCCCCCTCCCTCTGCCCCTGCTTGTCTTCCTTCTCCTGCTGTTTCTCTCTCTCTCTCTCTCTCTGTCAATTAAATAAATAAATAAATCTTAAAAAAAAAAAAGAGGAAATTAAGTTACAAATAGAGTGGCTTGTGAGCCAGTGTTGAGTAGACTCAAGTAAAATATAAAGTTTGCTCAAATGGTTTTCTATCCTTAGACCAGAAATTGTTAGCTCCTTGCTTTGCTCCTTATCTCCTTCTAGCCCTTTAGTTGAAATATATCAGTTCTGTCCCTTCGTGCAACATTACAATTACTAGTATATATATTTTGGGAAATTTAAGATAGATGATGGCTGAAGCTAATGTTAAATCCCAAAACTGAGTACAGACTTTAAGTAAGGTAGTCACTTATATTGTGTTTTGGAAAGCTCTCTGATCTTTCTGATAGTACTGTATTTTTTAATATATATGGTGATACTTTGTGGGGGGCAAATAGCCACTTTCATCAACAGACTTAATACATATAGCTGCTCTGTGGGGCATTTTGTTATATATTGAGTGTTATATATTGATGATAAAAATTTACTTGAAATTTTATGATTTTTAGAACACTGCTTCCACAGTGAAAATCGTGGAGGTCATTTGTTAAAAGCTTACTGAGATTGGATGGGTAGTGTTTTTCCATACATGCTCGTGAGTAAAACCATGAGAATTGTGGTGCCAAGAGAAATAGCGAAAAGGAATGTTCATAGGTATCATCCGAGAAGGGTTTTGGTGTTGAGGTTTTTGCTTCACTCACTGTCCTTTTGTACCTCCTGCAATGCCCTGGCTCCCTTTCTCACCATTAGAACGCCTAGGCCTTTCTCAAGGCCAGCTCAGTACCTCCCTGTCCCAGCCAGCAGAGTGTTTTTTCTTGGACCTTACAATACATGGGAGTGTGAGTCAGTAATAGAATACCTTTACCAAGTTTACTTGTTGCTGTTTTCCCCATGTACAGATGTATCGCCCTCTTGTTTTCTTCTTGAGAGTTCTTGAGAGCAACATTCCTCCTTGTGCTTCTTGAGCGCCTAGCCGGACACATAATGAATGAATGACTCTGAGATGACATTGACATTGACAATGACAATGACCTTGAGATAAGGGGAGAGTCAGGCACGGAGATGCATGCAGTCCATATCTTGCACCTTCTTCCTCCTGACCTGTGCTTATGTGATTACTGGAAGAATGGCTTCTTTGATGAGGAGACCCTTGCCATAACATCTTTGTGAAAAGTAGGAGTGTATAACCCTGTGTACAAATCATCCCAGCTCTGCCATTTGCTAAGCTGCTCAACTGCCCTGCGCTGGAGATGCTAATAATTATCCCCATTTAACAGAAAAGGTAATTAAGCCATGAGAGGTAACTTCTTAAGGTCCCACAACTAACCAAGTGGTAGAGCTTGGACATGGATTACATGCATACAGCTTCTCTGCTCGATTGCCTCTCATAGTCTGTTTTGATGATTAAATCATGGCCAGCAATTGCTTGGTGCATAGTAAATGCTAAACAAATAACTAAATACAGACTATACTTATTATCAGCCCCAAATTGTGCCCACGGTACAGGACCTTGGGACTTGGCTACATTGCTCCCACAGCAGGAAACTCAGGCATTAGCTTTCAGATTGTTCCCTCCTGTGTGACCTCTTGAATATAATGTGCAATTGGTGCAGCCTCCCTCAACTGATACAGTGTTTCTTCATCCTACTTCCACGTGACTCTAAAAAAAATTCATTCCTCTGCCCTCTTGGATCAGAGTTGTGACCAGAAGAAATGCTTGTAGGGAGACTGAGCATCGCAGATTTCACGGAGGGAACGCTGGGCAGTTTGATGGGTATGTGACAATGGTAAAATGATCGGTGTTTCCTTAGCCCACCTTCTTCTTTGTCCTTTCTTCATGAACCTGTAACTCTCTGGCATTTTTCTGAAGTCCTTGACCTTCTTCTACTGTCTTGCCCTTCCATCCGATTTTTCCAATCCAGAAAGGAAGAAAAGCGCCACTACAGAAAGTAAAGGAGGGTGAAGGTGACTTTGGAAGCCTGTGAGGCAGAAGGAAGGGGGAAGTAGCAGAGAATTGAAACTCAAAGAAAGACTTTTAAATGCTGACTTAATCTTTTAGGCTGCATTTTTTTTTCTTTTGCTAAGCAGTTATTAAGCACCGTGTGCTTAAGCGACTACATCATTTCCCCAGTGTCTTTGTTAGTCTCTTTGTTTAGTTCTCATAGAATTTAAACCTCTATTACTCTGTTCTTTGCGTATTTAAATATTATTTTGATTTTACTAATGATGACCAGTGTGAACACACTGACTCTCTTACGGTATATCCTTTTATTTTCTTATTGGAAGGAATCCAGCAAGCGTGAGCCAGTAATTGTCCTCCTTCGTTAGGGTCAATAATGTTCCCTGATTTTTTTTTTTTAAGTATATTTTAAGACCTTCGGTGATAGCAGCTAGAATTAGCCGAGGGAGGGAGCCTCAGGAGTGGCAGGATGTGAGAAAGGAAACCACCGAGGGGAGGTGTGCTCAGGAAGGCGAGCTGCCGGGGAGAGAAGGCTGGGAGGGAGAGGGCGGAGGGCGAGGGCGGAGCATCGAAGCCGCTGCCGCAGGGGTGGAGGGAACTGGAGACTCCACAGGGAGGCGGGAACATCCTCTGTTTAGGGAGCATTGCTTCTGCAGGCCTCATGCGAGGCCAGGACCTGTGGGTCAGATGTAGCTGGGCGGATTTGGAAACATTCAGCTTAGTGGTGGGGCACTGCCTCTTCCCAGGGCTGTCTGTCATGGTTGAGCTATTGCAGCACAGACTTCACATTGGCCAACCCAAAACAGAGACTGGGAGGAGCCCCTTACAACACCTGTAGCTTCCCCATGGTGCGGGATCACTCTTGAAACTGAAGGCTGTCTGCAGAAACCCAGGGCTAGCAGATTGTAGTTCATGGTGCTGCTGAAATGCAACGTCTGCTTAAAGAGTCTGGGCCCAATGAGGTAGGCTTGTTTGCTTTTGAAATGTGAACCTTTACAAATACTTAACTTTTAAACAAGGTAAAAAAAATTGAGCCCTTTCATTAGAAGTTACACGTGCATATTAACCAAACAATGTTCATCATCAGTAACTTGTCAAATTTCTGATTGAAGTCAAAGTTCTTTTATTGGTGGTAAATTGATCAGGCACTTTATCATCAGCTTTTTTTTTTTTTTTTTTTCATTTCTTGTTTTAGTTGCTGATATGTGTTCAAGATGAGTGGGATGGGAGAAAACACCTCTGACCCATCCAGGGCAGAGACAAGGAAGCGCAAGGAATGCCCTGACCAGCTTGGACCCAGGTTAGATTCTTGCTGAGAAACAGAATCAGTACTGCCCATGAAAACCACATGCATGAAGCATTGACTTGACACCTAATTGAAATACTGTGTTTGTTTTTCCTCCTTAAGCGTTAAACCTTTGAATGTGTATTATTTAGCTCACATTTTGGTTATGCTGATTAGTTGCAGATTTTATTATTGTTTACAAGAAGACTGAAAGCTACATACTTTTTCTGATGGCCCCTGTGTACTTGACTATTAAAGCAGGCTTATATAATTTTGAGTCTTCCACATTTTCTTTTCTGTTAGATCACAGGATGTGATAAAGACAAGAAGACCCCATAGTAGAATTTGCTGTTAATTTTACACTAAGTTTTATTTTTACTTATTTATTTTTTTGAGTTGGTAACAAAGATTGTGGCCCTTCAGTGAGTAAAACAAGTAATTTAAAGCAAGTTCCATGTCATATATTATAGATGGAACTGTGAGTTCTAATCTCCATGCAGGGTAATTTAGCATTCTCTAGTAAAATTATAAATGGGTATCCTCTTTGAACTAGCAGTCCACTTTTAGGAATTTTCCAACAGTATGCTTTCACACTGGCAAAATGATAGACACTGAGTTTACTTATTACAGCATTGTTTAATAATTGCAGGAGAGTAGAAAAAACCTCAATGTTTGTAGGGAACTATTTAAACAGCTATGATACCTCCATAACCTGGAATGCAATACAGCTATGAAAAAGAATGAAGATACTTAATGGATTGATATAAAAAGAATCTCTTAAGAACATTGTTACAGAGAAAAACAAGTTTTGAAGCATGTTTATGGAGTACTACTCTTTGTATAAACCATTTGTTTTAGGGTAATTATGAAACAGGAGTTATTAACCCATTTTGGGGGATGAGAACTAGGCTAATAGGTAACAAAGGTAGGAGAGAGACTTCATTCTTTTGATTACTTAAATCATATAAATGATTTTAAAAGTTAAATAAAAGCAGCAGCTTCTATTAACTAGCCAGTAAAAAGATCAGATGGAGAATAACAGGGAAGAGGACTAGGAAAAGGCATTAAGACGGGAAGAAGAGGAGAGAGAGCAAAAATATTTTATGTTCCCTTTTCCCCTTTTAGCTGCCAAACAGAACAAGTCTATTAAATCGCTACTGTGCGCATTCCAGCCCCCAACCCTCAGCTCCAGTATGTGGCCTCTAGATTCCCCGGTACCTCCTGGCTATCCACAACCATCTGTCTGTCAAACTGCCTTTAATGCCTGGAAGTCCCCTCGAGGAGGCAGTTTGATAAAATGGAGACTGTTCCGGTGGAGCGCAGTTCCCTTACCTCGTGCTGCGCCAGCACCCTGGTACGGTGGAGAGCCTGGGAACCCTCTCCTGAACCCTCTCCAGGGCACTCTCGGGCCTTTGTAACACATTAGCTCCCCTTTCTCACCTATTTGCCATGTGTTTATTCATCTTGTGGGGGGGGAGTTGCTGCTGAAGAGAGGTTGAGGGGGGCTGAGAGGTCCAGATGGGGACTTGGCTCTTCCATGCATTCCATCCATGCCCTGCCTTTCCCTGTACTTAATGAAGTAGAAGTTAGGAATAAAATTGAGACTTAGAAAAACCAAATTCAGGTCTCTGCTCTACCAGTGACTCACTGGGTGATCTTGGACAAATTGTGTAACCACTATGAAATGGAGAAATTGTCTTCTATCTCAGCTTTATTAGTTTATGAAAATAAAGCTAATACTTGTAGGCAAATAGATGGAAGTCTATTACAGACTACAAATTCTTAACAATTGGTATTATATACAAATAATTATATATTAAAAATACAGAAAGCTGCTACATTAAACAACTTACATTTCTTACTTATTACACTGTTTGAATGTCATTTAGTGGGCCCTCCACTAAAAAAAAAAAAAAAAGTTGTGCACTGTTATTATCAAAGGGAACTTGCTATTTTGTCGAATTCAAATGTGAAGATCTTGCCAATTTTTATTTTTCCCTCTCTTGCATTAACTTTTTAAAACTTTAGTTGAACTTGGACCATTTGTGTATATTTTGCACGTCATTCAGCTTGGACAGTTAACAAATACCCTAGGTCAGTTTCGCTTTTGTTTCTGGCTGTACTGTGGTTTTTTGCATTATCTAAAAAAATTGTTTGGTTTGATTACCAACATCCTATAGAAGTCTATGAAATTATGGAGATTTACTTTTATCTTTTTATGCTTTACCAAAAATCCCTGCAATTTATTTATTCCTATTATAACTAGGTTAGGTTCCCTTTCTTCTTTTACTAATCTTAAGATTTTATAACATAATCTCCCTTACCTTTCTAAAACCTTCCTCTATGTATTCAACAATAAATTTGATGCCTACTTCTACCAAGTGTTGTATTAAGCACAGTGATGAGCAAATCGTCCTGAGCCTTGTTGTTGTGAAGCTTACTGTCCCATGGGAGACATGATGCACATTGAACAAATGATCACACAAGTAAATCTATAATCATGTACTAGGGTGAGTTTGATTTCAAAAAAACATGCAACACTTAGGGCAAATTGAGTTTTTTCCCCCAAAGTACTTCCATGTTTATGTGAGTAATTTTTGTTTGCTATCTTTGTATGAGAACTTGTTTAACATGCTTACGTTTTTTATAATAGCTTTTTTTCAAATTCATAATAAAAACATGTATCTCCTTTTTAGTCCCAAGAGGAGCACTGAGAAACGTAATCGTGAACAGGAAAATAAATATATTGAAGAACTTGCAGAGCTGATTTTTGCAAATTTTAATGATATAGACAACTTTAACTTCAAACCTGACAAATGTGCAATCTTAAAAGAAACTGTGAAGCAAATTCGTCAGATCAAAGAACAAGGTAAGAGGACTGAATTAATATTTTGGGGACTTGAGCCGGTTTTTGTTTTTTCATGTGTGAGAAGTCCCTTCAGAGTCCCTTTAATCCATTTCTTATGCTTAAATTATTGATGAGGAAATGATGTCACAGTGCAAGATGAATGTAAGTATCACTTGCAGTCGTTTATAAATAGGCTTTATATAAAATTCAGCAATTCCCTAAAGACAGAGGAGACTGAGGTGAGACAGGGTGATGTAACTTTTCATCTAGTAAAACTCAATTAGGTGCCCACTGATTCTCCTCCCCTACCTTGGAATTTTCATTGCTTGCACAGCAAGTGACTGTCATAATTTGCAAGTGAGGAGCCAACTACAGATGGAAACCAGAAGTAAGGAAACGAGCCCCCTCCTGTTTCAGCTAGTCAGCATATTTGATTAAGTCTGAGCCTCAACTGGCCATGCCGCTAGATTAGAATTTCATATCCTGAATGACAAGAGATTTGAAAGGCTCAAGCCTCTAGTACGAATTCTTTTGTGAAGTTGAAACACAGAACATGACAGCTTTCTTCCTGGGGTTTTCTTTTTTTCTGAGATCATTTTCTGCCTCTCCTCTTTGAAGAAAAAAAAAATTTAAGAAAATACTATTTTAAAAAACACATTGGACTTCGTGGTGCCAAAAAAAAAAAAAAATCAGTATTAGGCAAGTATGAACAGTGTCTGGGTGCTTAGGGCCAATATATGCTCTTAAAGTATTCATACGCTGCTTTCCTTCAGGGCCGGGGAGATTATTATCTCTTGTAATCTGTTTTTGAGTGTATCCTCTAGAGTTCTTTTTTTTTTTTTAATCTACCTTTTATGTGATATTCAAAAGAGGCAGATTTTAGAAAAATAATGTCTTTGTCTGTGTAGGTATATGACCTGAAACTTCCCATTCGTCATAAAGTCCTAGCTGCCTATTTGTATATCATCATCATAGCATTTTTCATTTTTATACATTTACTATTAAGCTAAGTTTTATATAAAAGTTTTACAAATGTAGTTCTGTCTTCTAAGAAGTTAAAAATATATGCCTAACATACACAACACAGTTTCTAATACAAGCCCACTCTGAAAATCAGTCTTTATTTCCTGGTTTCTCAACCAAAATTCTATAACTCGGCACTTAATATTCCATGAGTTTCTTCTCTCAGTGCCTGCCTCGGTTTCCCTTCATCTCTTTCTTCTTCCATCTTTTCCCTTTGAGATCCACTAGTTATCAAAAACTCAGTTTAATCTCAATTTTGTATCTTCATTTTTTGGGTATCAGCAAATGGATAGAATAACATTCCTAGAGCTCTTAGGAGAAATAATTGGTTAAAGTTTCATAGTGCTTTGAAGCTGCTGTATCTCTAGTTGCTGATATTATGGTGGAGAAATCAAGCTGCTTGTTTCAGGTTTCTGAAGATTTTGAATGATACAATTTTGTGAACTTTGCATGTTAGGACTTTCACACTTTAAAACAGTTATGTATTTTTTTTACTATCAAGGTCTTGCACAAGGTTTTAAAAGTTTTGCAAAACCTTGGTAATTCCCCTTTCCAACCATAAAACACGTTAAGATGTGTCATGCTGGGACTCTGCCATACTTTTACTGTAGGTTTAATCATAAGGCTGCATACCACAACCACCCAAGAAGCAGCAGCAATAAACACCCTGTCATGTCTTATTCTTATAATGTTCCTGTTAATTTGAAAAATAATGTGTTTTGTAAAGGGAAGCAGAAATTAAAAACCAAATGAAAAACACAGATACACTTTCATGTTCTAATCTAATATTTAAAAAATATTTTTTGTTTAACAAATTGTTTTTTAGAAAACAGCAGGACTTCAGAATTAAATCAGACAGAAGCCTTGGTATGAATCCTGGGTCTGCCACTGACAAGCTCTTTGAACCTGGGCAAATTATTTTCTCTCTCTGAAACTCTGTTTCCTCATATAGAATTTAGCAGTCACAATATTGAGGTTGTGCAGTTGTTGAAATCATGAGCTGTATAAATGCACTCAGCAAATACCTGTCACAGTGAAGGTTTGGTAGGTATTCAGTAAATACCTTTTTCACATTAAGCAGGAAGTCGCCTTCTTCACATATGCTAGGGTCTTCAGTGAGCTCTTCCTTCAGATGGAGAATGGGAAATAAAAATGGTGGGGAAGTAGGTTATGAATATTCTTTCCTATAGGGTCATTTGAAGAACGTAAGATTTTCTGAGGCCCAAGAACTCTGCATAGCCTTTGCACACCACTCCCCGGCCAGCTGTCGAGGCCAGCGTGGTTTGTCTCCACAGTGGAGAGCCAGCTGAGGTTCAAGAGCAATGCATAAGTCAGACCTGAGCCCTTCTCTCGCATTCTTTGTGCCCAAAAGATCCCCCTTTGAATCAGTATAAATAAAGCCCATCCATCATCTTTCCCGCGTTTCCAAACTTCATTTCTCTTTCAGTTGCAAGTCTCAGATTGAATAAAATCATAATTGTGCTACAGAAGGTAGACTGGATTGCATGGGGAGCCACGGTAAAGAATCCACATCGGGAAAGCCAGGCTTGTATTTAAGGTGCCCTCCAGTGTCAAAATCTCAGGGAGATGAGCCAGGCATGCTGGGCTTTTTCTCGCGAGTCTACTCTGTCATCAGCTGTTCCTCAAGTTCCCATCCACTTTATAAATAGAAGAGAGAAGAAAGGGTATTTTAAAATGGCCTAAACGATGGGAATTTGGAGGGAGAATTGCCAGCTATTTAAATAAGTCAGCATTCTCCTGTATATAGCATGTTATGAGACACATGTCTGACAGACGCCAGCCCTCTGACAGCATGCACGCTGCAGTGGACCTTGCAGGAGCAAAGCAGATAGACACGGTGTGGACTTAAGCCCTTACACCAGCTTTGTGATAGTGAAGTATGATGTTTTGTCCTATTTGAGATGATGCTGATAATGTTTAAAACTTCTGGCTCCTATAACATACAATAATAGTCCATAAATAGTAAATAACCTTTTTTTCATAATTAGGGAGGCTAATATTGCTTTTGTTCCACAGAGGAATAATAAGTAGTATGAAAAATACAAATGATTTAATTGGGAATTATTGTGTCCAACTTTATACTCCTTAGCTGGAAACTTAAATAAAAATTTCTATGGAAAACACCTAGTAATTCCTATGCTCTTAAAAAATAAAATTGAGGGGTGCCTGGGTGGCTCAGTCGGTTAAGTGGCTGCCTTCGGCTCAGGTAATGATCCAGGGGTCCTGGGATTGAGTCCCATATACGGCTCTGTGCTCAGTGGGGAGTCTGCTTCTCCCTCTGCTGCTACCCCCTGCTTGTGCTCTCTCTCTCAAATAAATAAATAAAACCTTAAAAAAAAAAAGAAACGGGCTATCTAAAAGACCATTCTGGTTTCTCATTGTGATTACTCTAATGATGCAGTTTTGATTTTAGTGCTATTTTGAGAACATTGGGATTCCAGATTGCTTTGTACTTGTGAATTTCCCCTAAAACTGAAAATAACATTTAAAAAAGTTAAGTATTTTAAGTGAAGGTGAGGGCCTGTGGTATGCTAGAGTCAGCTCCTATAAACCAATGAAAGCCAGTTTTTCAGTTTCAGGAATTTTGTAAGCCAACTGATGAGCACAGCCATTATTAAAAATTATACAGATGTAAAAAAAAATTACACACACTTTAAATTATATTTTAAAAAAGCAAGGAAGACTAAAATTTATCATTTTCTAATTATCCTACTGCATTTTGCCATTATCTATGCACTAGAGGCTCTTGGCATCTTGTATCATCTACATAATAGAAATACTATGAAGTGGTGGCTACTCTGCATCTCTTCCCAAGTCCACATTCAATAATGTCACCATGCCTGATTTCAAATACAACAATATTGACCCCCTGGAAATCTAGTAAACTACAAATCAAAGCTTGATTTATTGTTTTGTTGGCTGTCATTTTAGATTTAAAAAGTAAGAGAGATTTGGGGGAAAAAATTAAGGAGAAAATGTTAATGATTACCATCTGACTTTTTTTTTAACCATCTGACATTTTAACATTAAGTAGCCATTATGTGCATATACAAAAGATAATATCCAGTTCAGCAAAAAAAGTCACTCACAGCTCGACAGTTGCATTTCTGCATTCAGCATCTTTGTCTTATTAACTTAAATGAAAATTTCAACCAGTATTCATATTGGAACTGTTTTTCATCCATTGTAATCATAGGTTGGTTGCAATCCAAGAATTTGGCAAACATTCACAGAAGCATTCTGTAAGAATCAGTTGACTATATGGAATTGACAGTAAAGGGTGTTGTATTATCATTTATAGATTATATGCTACACATCCTTTATACTAGTAAAATTTGTAGTAAACATGATGCTTACTATTTTTTCCCCAAAGAGCTGGGTTTTTAAGTATTTCCCAGTATACCACTTGTAGCCATGGCGGTGGGCAGGTTGTATTATAGGTGTAGGTGAATCAGATTCATAAACTAACAGGATTATTTAAGAATTCAAGAAAATAGTAATGGAAACAACCTAATCTTAGCCCATAAAAGTTCATGTGGAGCCTATTAAAATTATGTTTTTCCTTCCTGTTCTTTTTAAATGCATGACGTTCTTGTGGTGGAAATTGTCATTCAAAGCTGCAGCCTGAGCTTGAGCTATTAGCTGTCGTGAAGCAAAGTAAGCAGAGGGCTCTGATAACAGATGTCTTTCAGGGATAGGATTTCTATAAACCAGGCTTTTAGGGTGATGCTCCTAGGCCTTGGTTATATAGCGTGTGATGAAACCTTAGGGTGATGGCAGAGTCCTCCAGCTCACTGGAAAGGGTAGGTTAGGGAACTCACCATCTCTTGGACATGCCCTTGTAGATACTCACATACTGAAGACAGTGTTTTGGGTTGCCAGTGAGTATTTATGATAGTACAAACTCTTGATTATTTGGAGAACGAGTGGGAGACCGATAATGACATATAATTTTTTTAAACAATGGTCCCCTATTC